ATATGGTTTGCAACCGTGATGTTCAGCTTTTTGGGTTCTTATGTAATCGAGCAGTTTGCTGAACGGCCATGTAAAATTAAAGGACCAGAATAGCCCTATTTATCCAGTTGTTTTTTAATATAATTTTATCTCATATGTATGTATCATTACTAATTTCTTTTTTGCAAGCGGAATTGAACTGGAACTTCAACTTCAGTTTGAAGAGTTAGATGTGGATGCGAAAACCGGAGTGCTGGTTTAGGTTGCAAGGATTCTGACAGAGGAATGGGTCTGGAATAATAACTGGAAAAGAGCTGAGACTCTGCTTAAAGGTAAGAATAAAGTTATTATATATGGGTCTGTGATGCTCAGCAGGAACTAGATGCCGAATTTAAGCTGTACGTTTGTTCTGGCCAGTTTCCGCTCAGCATCAAATTTCTTGCGTGGCATAATAAACCCATAAAGGAATTTGAACTGAGATTCAATCAACCGATGGAAAGCAAAACGATGTTGCTAGCAACAAAGTCAGACTGCAGTGTGTGAAGCACATTTTAATGATCATGCAACAGCGAACAAACTTTTCAGTTCAAGATAAGATTCGGAAACAATTTTAAATAATGTGCGTTCGTACTTTTCACTCGTATTTTTTCTTTTTTTAAATTTCCTCGATCACTGATATCTTTGTATGCAAGTATGTTAACGTTCCACTTTAAAAAGATTTTGGCTGTGAAAGCAGTGTGTGACATGTGCATACCCGTAGCTTCGGTTTTTTGTCCTTCCAAAATTTCAAAAAAGCAAAAAATCGAAAATTGTACACAATTGTGATTACCTCATTGGTCCCTTCAAAAACACAAACGACTGCCTATCACGAGGTCGAACTGAATCAAGTTTTAGCATCTGCTTCGTGAATGCGCCTTTTGAATCCAATTACCAGAACTTGAAAACAGTAGTTTTGCTTTCAAGTAGCAGTCTTGTGGTACTTATTCCGTGAAGAGCAAAAAATTGAGCTGGATTTACGTCCGCAAGCACTGCTTAAGAGTGTTTCGAAATAAAAAATTTTGTACTCTGTCC